ACAATATTTTTTACAGTGTAGTAATCACAACATTTTTTCTTTTGTCAAATCAACTTTATAATAATTTATTTAGTTGAGATAACTTATTATTTTGAGTTTCTGATGATTAAATTGATCTCCTTCATTGTATTAACTCACCTTTTCCAGTTCAATCAACTTAAAATTTTAAGGCAACCAGGTTACTTACTTTTTTCAGTTAAACCTACAATATTTTTTACAGTGCATGCTCACTCATCAAATTTGCCATTTTTCATCTATCTTTGCCAATAGCAAAATATGCAATGTCATAAATATTTATGGAATATAACATGTCTGACAGATTTTGATCACTAAATTGATCATTCATGTGATGGCTCACACGATGAAAGAATGTTTAGAAATTGTGAAGAGTTTGACAATTTAACTAAGATTCAACTCATCAGTGACCAACAAGACATAGACAATGTTACTCATACACATTTGCCAAAGCACTTGCAATTAGCTTAAATCAATGAGAAATTCAAATCTGATGTGAACAAAAAAATATTTGTTCAGAGATCTGAAATTGATTGGGTAACAATTTACAATAAGGTTCAATAGTTAACATAAGTTAATATTAACTAAGATGAACTAACAATGTGTCACAGTCCTCGTCTGCACCAGTCTGTCTTGTCATCAGCACTACACTTCCCAGGATCCTCTTGTCTCCACTCCTGAACTCACTCCCGAAATCACCCACCTGTACATCGTCTTCATCATCTGTATCACCTGTTTTTTCCTTGTTATGTTTGATTCCTGCTTGTTTTTAGTTCTCCCTGTTTCAGTCAGCCATTGTCGGTCGATGTTAATGTTACCCTGAGTTTTGTGAGTGTTCCTGCCTGTCTTCTTATACCTGTTTGAGTGATTTAGTAAAGTAATTTGAATTGGAGCATTAGCCTCTTCTGTCTTCTTCAGCCTGCACTCCACAACAAATCGTGACAGATCGACCGACCAAAACGAAATATGGAGTGGGCGGCCATGGACCTTCTTCTTCTGGCCCAGGAGGATCAATCCCTCGAGGCCCACACACAGAGCTATTTGGACTTGGTACCACACGTGCATTACGATGACACCAGCCTCAGAGCACGCCTGCCCGGAGAGGGGCCTCGAGGGAACTTCGAGGAGTTCGTCGAGTGGGTGCTGGTGCATAATAATTCACCGCTCACCATTGGGCACTACACCAGCCCCACCGACTCCTCATCGCTGGTTCCGTCCAGCCCCGCCGAGCCTGAGCCCTCCTCACCGCTGGTTCCGTCCAGCCCCGCCAAGCCTGAGCCCTCCTCACCGCTGGTTCCATCCAGCCCTGCCGAGCCTGAACCCTCCTCATCACTGGTTCCGTCCAGCCCTGCCGAGCCTGAACCCTCCTCATCACTGGTTCCGTCCAGCCCTGCCGAGCCTGAGCCCTCCTCACCGCTGGTTCCGTCCAGCCCCGCCAAGCCTGAGCCCTCCTCACCGCTGGTTCCGTCCAGCCCTGCCGAGCCTGAACCCTCCTCATCACTGGTTCCGTCCAGCCCCGCCGAGCCTGAACCCTCCTCATCGCTGGTTCCGTCCAGCCCCGCCAAGCCTGAGCCCTCCTCACTGCTGGTTCCGTCCAGCCCTGCCGAGCCTGAACCCTCCTCATCACTGGTTCCGTCCAGCCCTGCCGAGCCTGAACCCTCCTCATCGCTGGTTCCGTCCAGCCCCGCCAAGCCTGAACCCTCCTCATCGCTGGTTCCGTCCAGCCCCGCCGAGCCTGAGCCCTCCTCGCCGCTGGTTCCGTCCAGCCCCACCGACTCCTCATCGCTGGTTCCGTCCAGCCCCGCCGAGCCTGAACCCTCCTCATCGCTGGTTCCGTCCAGCCCCGCCGAGCCTGAGCCCTCCTCGCCGCTGGTTCCGTCCAGCCCCGCCGAGCCTGAGCCCTCCTCACCGCTAGTTCCGTCCAGCCCCGCCAAGCCTGAGCCCTCCTCGCCGCTGGTTCCGTCCAGCCCCACCGACTCCTCATCGCTGGTTCCGTCCAGCCCCGCCGAGCCTGAGCCCTCCTCACCGCTGGTTCCGTCCAGCCCCGCCAAGCCTGAGCCCTCCTCACCGCTGGTTCCGTCCAGCCCTGCCGAGCCTGAACCCTCCTCATCACTGGTTCCGTCCAGCCCTGCCGAGCCTGAACCCTCCTCATCGCTGGTTCCGTCCAGCCCTGACGAGACCGCTTCACTGCTGGTCTCGGTCAGCCCTGCCCAGCCCCAGCATGAGACCGCCCAGCCCGAGACCGCCCAGCCCGAGACCGCCCAGCCCGAGACCGCCCAGCCCGAGACCGCCCAGCCCGAGACCGCCCAGCCCGAGACCGTCCAGCCCGAGACCGTCCAGCCCGAAACTGTCCAGCCCGAGACCGTCCCGTCTGCCCAGCGAGAGACTGTCCACGTCCCGTCTGCCCCTAATCCGGGGATTCAGCCCAAATATTTTTTGGGGGGAGGGCCCTATGTCCCAGCCGTAGCCGCCCGAAGGGTCTTCACCGCCGTGGCCGCCCGAAGGGTCTTCACCGCCGTGGCCGCCCAAAGGGTCTTCTCCGCCATGGCCGCTCTAAGGGTCCTCACCGCCATGGCCACCCGAACGGCCTGCCCCACCCTGGACACCCGAGGGTCCAACAACTCCGCCCTGGATGTCCGAGGGTTCATCTGCTCCGCCCTGGCCACGCCCTCAGCCTGCTCCGCCACGCCCTCAGCCTGCTCCGCCCTGGCCACGCCTTCAGCCTGCTCCGCCCTGGAGGCTTCCTGCTCCAGATCGGCCTCGCCCTTGTCAGCCTCCAGGACGCCCACCCCTTTGATGTCCTACGGCGCGAGGTTGCGCCTTTGTAAAGAGGGGCGCTCTGTCTCAGTCTTCATCTGCACCAGTCTGTCTTTGTCATCTGCACTACACTTCCCGGGATCCTCTTGTCTCCACACCTGAACTCACTCCCTCCATCAGCCACCTGTTCATCGTCTTGTTCATCTGTATCACCTGTTTTGACCTTGTTATGTTTTGATTCTTGCTTGTATTTAGTTGTCTTCAGTTCAGTCTTTGCTTGTCGGTCGATGTAGATGTTAACGTTCAATGAGTGTGTTTAATCTTCTGCCTGAACAACTCCAAACGGGTACAAGGAAGACAGGCAGAAGATTATACACACACTCATTGAACGTTAACATCGACTGACAAGCAAAGACTGAACAGAAGACATCTAAATACAAGCAAGAATCAAAACATAACAAGGTGAAAACAGGTGATACAGATGAACAAGACGATAAACAGGTGGCTGATGGAGGGAGTGAGTTCAGGTGTGGATCCTGGGAAGTGTAGTGCAGATGACGAAGACAGACTGGTGCAGACGAAGACTGTGACACAATGAGCAATAGATTTGTTACAGTATTTATTAATCTTTGTTAACGTTAGTTAATAAAAAATAAAGCTGTTTATTGTTTGTTCATGTTAGTTCACAGTGCATGAACTAATGTTAACAATATTGTAATAAAGTAGTAAATGTTGAAATTAGCATTACAGTAACAAAGATTCATAAATTCTGTATAAATGCAGTTAATAGTTCAGAACTAATGTAGTACTAATGTGTTAACTAATTAACCTTATAGTAAAGTGTTACCACTTATTGTTTTGAGAAAGAAAAAAAAGTTTAAGGGAACGTTCTGTATTTATGGAAAGGTCCACCGGAGGAAAATAGGAGAGGGTCATGTCTTTTTATTGTTTGATGAGGGGAGGGTCACCCAACTTTTGTATTCATCAAAACAGGTAAATTTCAAAGTGGCTTGTTTGGTGCATATTTTTCCATGTAGCTCCATGTAGCTCTGTCAGTCTCGGCCCCCGGGCCATCGCTGTCAGATGGGTCTGACCCAACAAAAATCCGAGTGGAGCTGTTTGACAGAAATGAGAGTTGGCCTGCAGGAGTTGGCCTGAAATGAGACTTCCTTAGATTTCCACGACGCATGCGCGAGAACTGAACTGAAGTAGTTAAAGGAGATCGCAATTCTCGCGCATGCGTCGTGGAAATCTAAGGAAGTCTCGTTTCAGGCCAACAAGGAAGAAAAGGAATAGTCGAATAAAGTCGTTATTTTTGTTTGTTTTTTTGCACAAAAAGTATTCTCGTTGCTTGATAAACATATAGTTGAGCCACGGTAGTCACTTGGGATATTTAAACATTTTCTTCATTGACTTTCTAGGCCGTCAAGAGGCAGTCCCTTAGGCAGCCAATGTGGTAGTTATACAGCTCTCAAATTTAATCAAAAATATCTTCATTTGTGTTCCGAAGACGAACAAAGGTCTTACGGGGTTGGTACAGCATGGGGGTGAGTAATTAATGACTTAATTTTCATTTTTGGGTGAACTAACCCTTTAAGATGGCGAAATACCCTGTCCACTTCGCAGTCCACTTACGGTCGAATGGAACGCACCTAAAGATGGCAACGAATGTGGGAAACATGAATTAAGTGTAGAAATATACGCAATTCAACCAAAAGTGGGGGAAAAGAGGTACTTGGGTGAAAGTAGGAGGGAGGAAAACATATTATCAAGAATAGGACATACAAGACTTAATAAAACGCTGAAATTAATATCCAAGCATCCAACAGGACTTTGTGATTGGTGGGGAGAGGAAGAAACAGTAGAGCATGTAATGTAACCATGTATTGTGAAAGATATAAAGAGGATAGAGATACATTATTTGAAGAGATTCAGAGAAAAGAGGAAACTGATATAACTTTGAGAATCATATTAAAACCAGAACGGGAAAATGATAATGGAGAAGCTTTATTTGGATATTTGGAAAATACAGGATTAATTGACAGAATTTGAAAGTTTTTTTTTATTTATTTATTTATTATTTATTTTTATTTAATTAGTTATTTTTTTTATTTTTTTTTTTATTTTTTTGAGCCAGAGGAGCTGACCACGCAGCGCTGGCTATAGTATAAATGTTCATAAAGTGGGTAAGGATGGGAAATGGGTTCTTGAAGTCTCTGGTGCGTTCACAGTAGGTGGCGGTAATGCACGAAATCGATGGGAATCGCCAAAAAAGGAAGAAGAAGAAGGATAAGAAGAAGAAGAAGAAGAAGAGAGGGGAGAAGAACACACTAGTGAGCAATTTCTGTTCTGTCGGTGAGCGTGTAAGTTAATAGCTGGTTTGTCAGATAATAAAAAGAACGACAATCTAGCGGAAACTCTTAAAATTCCATAAGGAAAAATTACGAACAGTATTTGTTTACAATATAACACGATGCTTAGTCATCGTCGACTGTGCCTCATATCTGAGTGAGCTGTCGAAACATAAGCGCCCGTACCAACACACTGGTTACAGAAACATTTAAGTCGATTAACACACGGTGGCCTCTGTTGTGCGCTATTTAAAAAAAACTGAAATAAAAACTAACAGTCATGTTTCACAACTTTTTATCAACATCTAGTCTATTTAAAATATTTAATAATCCATTGACAGCTTTTGGCTTAACTGACACAATTAAACAATATAACTCAAGAACAGCAAGAATTTAAACGGAAAGATACTAAAGCGAGTAACACTTTACAATAAGCTCACTTACAATGAGTAATATGTTTTTGCCAGAAGCAAGCAATATTAACATTAGTTTACCGTGTATTGACTAATGTTACAATTTTGATCGAAAATGCATTAGTAACACTTGATGATGAAGTGCATGTTCACAGGGTGATGATAACACTGTTGATGATGAAACATGGATGTTCCAAGAGTGATTATAGCACTGCTGTTGATGATGAAGCATGTATGTTCTCAGGGTGATGATAACACTGTTGATGAAGCATGCATGTTCTCAGGGTGATGATAACACTGTTGATGATAAAGCATGAATGTTCTCAGTGTGATGAGAACTGTTGATGATGATGATGAAGCATTGCATGTTCTCAGTGATCCAGTGTGATAACACTGTTGATGATAAAGCATGGATGTTCTCTGTGTGATGATAACATTGTTGATGATGAAGCATTGCATGTTCTCAGTGATCCAGTGTGATGATAACACTGTTGATGATGAAGCATGCATGTTCTCAGTGATCCAGTGTGATAACACTGTTGAGGATAAAGCATGGATGTTCTCAGTGGTCCTAGGGTGATGATAACACTGTTGATGATGAAGTATGGATTTTCTCAGAGTGATGATATAACACTGTTGATGATGAAGCATGCAGGTTCTCAGTGATCTCAGGGTGATGATAACACTGTTGATGGGTGTCGTTCACAGTCATGCTGCCCTCCAGTGTCTTCAGACGGCTCTGCACCAGCACTCAGCGGCCCATCCTTCTGCTCTTCACCAAGGTACAGGTGCTGTCCATCACACACACACTGCTCAGAGAAGGTACAGGTGCTGTCCATCACACACTCACACACACACATCTGTCACGCTCACACACTGCTCAGAGAAGGTACAGGTGCAGTCCATCACACACACACACACACACACACCTGTCACGCTCACACACTGTTCAGAAAAGGTACAGGTCTTGTCTATCACACACACACACTCCTGTCACGCTCACACACTGCTCAGAGTAGGTTCAGGTGCTGTCCATCTCACACACACACACACACACACACACACACACACATCTGTCACGCTCACACACTGCTCAGACAAGGTACAGGTGCTGTCCATCACACACACACACACACACACATCTGTCACGCTCACACAATGCTCGGTTTCATATCGCATTTCGTTACAGCCCTTTTTAGAACGTTAAGTTCAACTCAGGGCTCCAGACTAACTTTTTTTACTAGGAGCGCTGTTGCCCCTGACTGAAAATTTTAGGAGCGCAAACAGAAAATTTAGGTGCACACCTTAAATCAGCTTGCAATGCAATAATTAAAAAATTTTCCCCCAAAATAACTGTAATACTGACAAATTCTTTAATAATAAATAGACTTAACATTTAATGATATGCTGTTTTATTTTAAGTTCACAGGGCTCCAGACTCAAATTTGAGGGCAGCACCACCTCAAATGAGAACTCACACCAAGTTATACAAAAAAAAAAAAAAAAAAAAAAAAAAAATGGTAGCACTGGGGCTGACAATAAATCACTTAGATTAATTTAGGGTGTAGGTGAAGTTAACTTTAGTTATCACTTATAATGTCTTAATATTAATTAAAAACCAAAGGAGAGAAAACATGCATGTATAAGGACTTGGAGTGAAAATAGCCAATAAACATCCTACTGTTTACAATTTTTTTTTTTAATTTTTAATAAAAAAAAAAATAATAATTTTAATGTTTAAATAAGAGTTTTCCAACATCTTAAAATTTTTCGTTTTAGGACAATCTTTGAAGGATGAACAAAAAAATGTGTTGATCATCACAAAAAAAAAAAAAAAAACCCAAAAAAAAACATTTAACTTTATATGATATTATAGTTTTGAAGAGCAGGACAAAGATGTGTTGTAAGTGTTTGACTACCGTATTTCTGTCACATCATATTTATGGTTAGAGTTAACTTACTATTTGCCATGCTGATAAGTTGCTGATTTGTGGACTGAAAGCCTTCTGTAAGTGTTTCTCCTGGTTTCCACGTCAGCGCTGTTGATCTGATATGGTTTATCACAGAACTCTGCGCCGAATCGGAGTGTTTCTCACTGGATCTCGTAGCGATGATGTTAATAGGGACTTTAAGCAACAGCCTCTGGTGGAACGGCAACGGCATTCTGGCGTTCTATTGCGCATGCGTGCCATTAACTGCTACTTCTTGACGTTCTACTGTAACCGTCTACTACGGGAGAACAACTGATTTGCCGTAGTCGTTACTACGTGACAGATTAAGACAGTTAATGTTATGTTTTAGGTTATGTGGCATTGAAATCGTTTCTGTATATCATTAAGTGCTAAAATCAACCCTTCTTTTTCTTTTTAAAACCACTTTCTTCTTGTATTTTGTCTGATGATTAAATTATTCCCTATGCCGTCCTCTTTACTGTTGCTTAGTGATTTTTGCGCTCTTTAACTACGGCAGTTAACTGTTTATTTCCGGCTGCCGTCGCCGTTCTATCAGCAGCTGTTGCTTAAAGTCCCTATTAATTCTGAGGCGAATTCAATGGATTTATTCACTGGATCTGCTAGTAACAGTGTCGCGTGATCGAGATCGGCCAGCGACTGGCAAGTTCGGGGCTTTATTACTGTCGGTGGTTCGGGGGGCTCCACTATGCGCTGCTCTGTCTATTATTGGTCCAACCTTATAAAAACGCCAACGGTCCGTGAAGCATAGCCTATATGAGTTGCGTATTTTAGTTCCACTTTCATTTTGTTTGTATTGGCTGCTAGGTAACGTGTCGATAGATCGCTTATTGCTCAGACGCACATCAGGTTGTGATATTTGTCTCCGTCTCACTCCGTCTCTCATGTTCCCACAGACGTTTATTCGCGCTATTCTTGTCACGGATTCATTGACGCGCCCATTCGACGCTTACCATGCATTTAACGTGTGGCAAATTTACCGGTCGCACATGTGCGACTGGATGTAAAATTCAGTCGCACACTCTCAAATTTTGGTCGCAAAATGCGACTATTTGGTCGCAGTCTGGAGCCCTGCAACTTCTTAATAGTTATTTTAAAGTAACTCAAAAGTAAAACAGGAGTAATGTAAGCATTACAATTCTGAGACAGGCCGGAGACACACTGGTTGTGTGGCGTAAGCGTGGCGTTTCTGTAGCGTGGCGGCTGCGTCGCGTTTTCTGTGTCTTTGCACACCAGAAACGTGTCTGACGCGGCGCTGCTGCTAGGTGACGTACAGGGAATGAGACATATGGGAGAGAGTTGTGGAAGACCTATACTTCATGTTAAGCACAAATTTTTATCAAATTTTATCATATTTCTTTCCTCCTGTGGAAGTTAATGGCTCCATCAACTCTTGGGTTACCAACATTATTTCAGATATCTTCTTTTGTGTTCAGCAGAAGAGAGAAACTCATACAGTCTTGAAACAACTTGAGGGCGAGTAAATGAAGACAGAATTTCATTTTGAAGTGTTGAAGTGAACCTCCATGGCACTGTGTTTGAGCAGTTCCTCATCTGCAATCCTCAGGACCCTCCTCCTGAAAGTTTTAGATGTCAGACTCATGTGTGCTGCATAGGAGACATGTAGAGCGCTGTGGGGGACCTTAGTGTAGGAACCCTGCTAACAACGCTCACAGAGTGGATCAGATGGAGATCTTGAACCTACTGCATTTTGGAAGGAAGAGATTGGTACAATATGCAGAATAAATGGTAAAGAAACGTGCGTAAAGAAACGTTGAAATTTATTTTTCAATTGTCTTTCTGAACTCCCACACACTGTACTTCATCTGTACTTGCAAATAAAATTTTAATTTAGCAGCAACGTTTCGGTCTTACGACCTTCATCAGTTTTATTTGTAAGTACTGATAGTGTGCAGGAGTTCCTAATTGTAGATTGTTGACCAATCTTGGTCTTCCTTTCCTACGCACCTATCACCTACAGGTGTGCGATGGCGTTTGTTTATCAATTGTCTTTCCGAAAAGAAAAAGAAAACTTTCTGTAGATGTTGAAAATTACGTGCATAAAAAAAACTGCTGGATGGAAATGGCAAGATCCACAAAAATCCTTAAAATTTGCGTAGAAAAACTTTGATCAAATTTCACTTTCTATCAGATTCACTGACATTAACAGAATAAACTCCTCGTTGGGCATAAGACTGATCGCGGGCCGACCTCAGCACCTGAAATGCTGATTTAGTCTTTCTTGTTCTGAAATGCCTCATGTGAAGTGTATGACGTTACTGCGCTCCAAGAGCTGCATCTGTTAGTGGGTTTCATCTGTGCTCTGATGCGCAAGCCATTTATTATACAGAAATTATTACAGTGGCTTCTTCTACTTTTCTTATTGATATTCAGCACCAGTTTATCAGAAGGTGATGTTTTTGTTCTCTTCGACTCACTGGATGGAAACGCTTCTTTATTTGCAAATGTTTAATGCGATATTCCAATTTTGGCAATAAGTTAAATGGACAGCTTTGGATAGAAACATAGCGATAGTAAAGACTCAAGTCTATCCCTCAAAGCCTCGCTTTCATCTGTTACATGCAGTCTAACCTACCTGACTGAGGTCTGTTGCCTACTTCTGTTGGCCTGACACAAGCTGATCTAATATATCAGCTGCTGCTTCTTCTTCCAAGACCAAAACAACTATTTAAAAAAACCTTTCTAGCTATTACCACCAAACTTTCTTTGGTTTGACCTTCGGCCTGCTCTGACTCTGGTTGCTTTTTCTTTTCTAACCGATCAGACCTATGGTTTTCCTAAACCGTCAGATCAAAACATCCCATAGACTTTCATTGAAGGAATGAGCCAAGACTGTTCAAACTCCAGCTGTCAAAAATTCTAATCTATATAGCCCAGCAACTAGAACATGCTAGCAACATTTTACCAATGTGCTAGATAAACTAGCTACTTGGTAAAATAAGTTTGAAACATGCTAAAACAAGCCAGCAATGTGTTAAAACCAAGCGTACAGCACAAGCGCGCGCGTGTGTGTGTGTGTGTGTGTGTGAGAGTATGTCTCATGCTGTGAGCTCTGGTACTGCTGCACATGTTTGTTAATGTAGGTCTTCCAAACTGCAATAAGTTCACTAACACATGCATGACGTGATCAGATCTCTGTTCTGTGTCCAGGACCCATGTCCTCTGTGTGATGAAGCGAAGGCAGCCCTCGAGCCGTATGCACACCGGGTAAGACTGTGTAAAATGTGTGTGTGAGTGTCACTCACTCAGTCTGTTCACTCTCAGTGTTCCTCTGCTCTCCTCTGTCTAATGTGTGTGTGTGTGTGTGTGTCCTCCACTGTTTCAGGTCCAGCTGCAGGAGGTGGACATCACTCTCCCAGAGAACAGAGTCTGGTTCGACAGGTACAGATATCACATCCCCGTCTTTCATTTAAATGGACAGTTTCTGATGATGCACCGTGTGAACTCCACACTCCTGGAAAAGCGTCTGGATGAAGCCACTGCAACTGGACAATGATATCAGGAGATGTTATGCAGTTCATTGTAAATAAAGCGTTTGTACCTTTCTGATTTTAAAAAGCCTTTGGGTGCCACCCTTTGGATAGCTGTATCCTGGTAAGGCTGGATATCCCGGCTGCCACATCATCAAGATTGAGTTTGTCTGTGGGGAGTTGATTGAATGGTTGTGGTTTGCTATTGGCTGATCTCATGTGAGTGACAGGTTATTTGCCCCACCCTCATCATCAGAGAAGAGATGCTGCAAGAGGAAGTTATTCTGACTCGATTACAGAGCACATGAATTAAAAAAAAAGCATGGATAAATCATTTATAAGAAACAATCACCATGAAATCAAATGTTACAATTCTTTTTTTTTTTGAATATTGCTTAAGTTGAGAGGTTTGGATAAAAGGGGTTTAAGTGAAAAATACAACGTAAACTTTTCATGATGATGCATTTGATTATCCTTATGCAATCAATCGAGGAGAGTCTACACATAAAAGACACATGACTGGCAGATCAACTCCCAGCTTCAGTTCAAACAGGATTAAATCAAATTAAATTGAATGTGGAGGATTTTTTTTTTTTAGTTTAACTCTTTTTATTGATTTTTTTTTTCAATCAGAGAGATAAGAGAAAGACAATACAGTGTTTGTTACCAAAAAAAAAACGGATTTTATATACAAATATAAAATACGGAAATTAAGCAGAGGTATTTCTTACTCTCTGATTGAACAAAAAAAACAATGAAACAAAAACATAAAAAAGGATTATAAATGGTTGCTTCCAAACTAATGTTATTCTTACTTGTATTGTTTTGTAATATACTAGTATGTTTGGAAGCAACCATTTATAATCCTTTTTTTTTTTTGTATGTTTTTGTTTCATTGTTTTTTTGTTCAATCAGAGAGTATGTAGTAGGCATGTACAGTGTGGTAGCAATATAGATAAAATTAAAATACAGCAAAAACTGTAAATATTACTAAAAAAACAAACAAAACAACTTTGCACCTTTTTTTAAATGATCACTGCCAGCTGTCAAGAAAACCAAATACTATTTATTTCCCTTTTTTATGTACTCTGTTTCTTAATCAGACGGACGAGAGAGAGGACAATAGTAAGGGTAAGGGTCAAAAGCATAGGAGTGGTTAACCAAAGGGTAATATATAAGAAAATGATTATTTTCATTTTTTAAGTACAAAAGAAATGGTTGCCAAGTCATGTGAAATTGTTCTGTAAATCAATTGTAAATAGATTTTTTTTGTATTTGAATAATTTGCAACAGGTCATGCATCCAATAAAAGTAGCTTTTGGTGGAAGAGAATTTTTCCAGTTCATCAGTATAAGCCTTTAAAATGTGGAGGATTTTAACTGTGATGATTAACAGGACAGGACACACAGATCTAAGAGACATAGCTGTCTGTTACAGACGGTTATGATGAAGTAGTGTCCCAAAGCTCGTCTATTCTTCTGCTACACACTCAAGTGTAATTTTCTTAACAAGAACACTACATACTTTTAGGGCAGAGGTGTATAACCCTGCTTTTGGAGATCTGCCTTCCTGCCGAGTTTATCTCCTTGCTTGATCAAACACACCTGAAGCAGGGAATGAAGATCTCCAGGAGCAGTGCAGGTGTGTGGGATCAGGACAGGAAGATCTCTTGAAGCAGTGCAGGTGTGTGGGATCAGGACAGGTAGATCTCCAGAGCAGTGCAGGCGTGTGGGATCAGGACAGGTAGATCTCCGGGAGCAGTGCAGGCGTGTGGGATCAGGACAGGTAGATCTCCTGGAGCAGAGCAGCTGTGTGGGATCCGGACAGGTAGATCTCCAGTAGCAGTGCAGGTGTGTGGGATCAGGACAGGTAGATCTCCAGGACCAGTGCAGGCGTCTAGAATCAGGACAGGTAGATATCTGGGAGCAGTGCAGGTGTGTGGGATCAGGATGGGTAGATCTCCAGGAACAGTGCAGGCTTGTGGGATCAGGACAGGTAGATCTCCAGTAGCAGTACAGGTGTGAAGGATCAGGACAGGTAGATCTCCAGGAGCAGTGCAGGTGTGTGGGATCAGGACAGGTAGATCTCCAGGAACAGTGCAGGTGTGTGGGATCAGGACAGGTAGATCTCCAGAGCAGTGCAGGCGTGTGGGATCAGGACAGGTAGATCTCCGGGAGCAGTGCAGGCGTGTTGGATCAGGACAGGTAGATCTCCTGGAGCAGAGCAGCTGTGTGTGATCCGGACAGGTAGATCTCCAGTAGCAGTGCAGGTATGTGGGATCAGGACAGGTAGATCTCCAGGACCAGTGCAGGTGTGCGGGATCAGGACAGGTAGATCTCCAGGACCAGTGCAGGCATCTAGGATCAGGACAGGTAGATATCTGGGAGCAGTGCAGGTGTGTGGGATCAGGACGGGTAGATCTCCAGGAGCAGTGCAGGTGTATGGGATCAGGACAGGTAGATCTCCAGAGCAGTGCAGGCGTGTGGGATCAGGACAGGTAGATCTCCGGGAGCAGTGCAGGCGTGTGGGATCAGGACAGGTAGATCTCCTGGAGCAGAGCAGCTGTGTGGGATCCGGACAGGTAGATCTCCAGTAGCAGTGCAGGTGTGTGGGATCAGGACAGGTAGATCTCCAGGACCAGTGCAGGCGTCTAGAATCAGGACAGGTAGATATCTGGGAGCAGTGCAGGTGTGTGGGATCAGGATGGGTAGATCTCCAGGAACAGTGCAGGCTTGTGGGATCAGGACAGGTAGATCTCCAGTAGCTGTACAGGTGTGAAGGATCAGGACAGGTAGATCTCCAGGAGCAGTGCAGGTGTGTGGGATCAGGACAGGTAGATCTCCAGGAACAGTGCAGGTGTGTGGGATCAGGACAGGTAGATCTCCAGAGCAGTGCAGGCGTGTGGGATCAGGACAGGTAGATCTCCGGGAGCAGTGCAGGCGTGTTGGATCAGGACAGGTAGATCTCCTGGAGCAGAGCAGCTGTGTGTGATCCGGACAGGTAGATCTCCAGTAGCAGTGCAGGTGTGTGGGATCAGGACAGGTAGATCTCCAGGACCAGTGCAGGTGTGCGGGATCAGGACAGGTAGATCTCCAGGACCAGTGCAGGCATCTAGGATCAGGACAGGTAGATATCTGGGAGCAGTGCAGGTGTGTGGGATCAGGACGGGTAGATCTCCAGGAGCAGTGCAGGTGTGTGGGATCAGGACGGGTAGATCTCCAGGAACAGTGCAGGCATGTGGGATCAGGACAGGTAGATCTCCAGTAGCTGTGCAGGTGTGAAGGATCAGGACAGGTAGATCTCCAGGAGCAGTGCTGGTGTGTGGGATCGGGACAGGTAGATCTCCAGGAACAGTGCAGGTGTGTGGGATCAGGACAGGTAGATATCCAGTAGCTGTGCAGGTGTGAAGGATCAGGACAGGTAGATCTCCTGGAGCAGAGCAGCTGTGTGTGATCCGGACAGGTAGATCTCCAGTAGCAGTGCAGGTGTGTGGGATCAGGACAGGTAGATCTCCAGGACCAGTGCAGGCATCTGGGATCAGGACAGGTAGATCTCCTGGAGCAGAGCAGCTGTGTGTGATCCGGACAGGTAGATCTCCAGTAGCAGTGCAGGTGTGTGGGATCAGGACAGGTAGATCTCCAGGACCAGTGCAGGCGTCTGGGATCAGGACAGGTAGATCTCCTGGAGCAGAGCAGCTGAGTGTGATCCGGACAGGTAGATCTCCAGTAGCAGTGCAGGTGTGTGGGATCAGGACAGGTAGATCTCCAGGACCAGTGCAGGTGTGCGGGATCAGGACAGGTAGATCTCCAGGACCAGTGCAGGCTTCTAGGATCAGGACAGGTAGATATCTGGGAGCAGTGCAGGTGTGTGGGATCAGGACAGGTAGATCTCCAGGAGCAGTGCAGGTGTGTGGGATCAGGACGGGTAGATCTCCAGGAACAGTGCAGGCATGTGGGATCAGGACAGGTAGATCTCCAGTAGCTGTGCAGGTGTGAAGGATCAGGAGAGGTAGATCTCCAGGAGCAGTGCTGGTGTGTGGGATCAGGACAGGTAGATCTCCAGTAGCAGTGCAGGTGTGTGGGATCAGGACATGTAGATCTCCAGTAGCTGTGCAGGTGTGAAGGATCAGGACAGGTAGATCTCCAGTAGCAGTGCAGGTGTGTGGGATCAGGACAGGTAGATCTCCAGGAGCAGTGCAGGCGTGTGGGATCCGGACAGGTAGATCTCCAGTAGCAGTGCAGGTGTGTGGGATCAGGACAGGTAGATCTCCAGGACCAGTGCAGGCGTCTGGGATCAGGACAGGTAGATATCTGGGAGCAGTGCAGGTGTGTGGGATCAGGACAGGTAGATCTCCAGGAGCAGTGCAGGTGTGTGGGATCCGGACAGGTAGATCTCCAGTAGCAGTGCAGGTGTGTGGGATCAGGACAGGTAGATCTCCAGGACCAGTGCAGGCGTCTGGGATCAGGACAGGTAGATATCTGGGAGCAGTGCAGGTGTGTGGGATCAGGACAGGTAGATCTCCAGGAGCGGTGCAGGCTTGTGGGACCCTTTTATACATGTTGTATATGTTAACATCTGCTCAGTTATATATTATACTATTATACTAATGTTCTGGGAGCAAACACCAACACCAAAACAACTGCAAAAATTATAATTATTTTGATGGGAGCAAAAAAATCCTGGTCCACCATCTGATCTGGATCCGGCTGATTACAGTAAACCTCGAAATAAACAGAAAGGCTAATGTTAGCATAGATATATTAATTATAATAATATAATAATTAAATTAATAATAATAATAATTTAATAATTGTATTTATTATAATTTAATAATTATAATAAATATAATTTAACTGATTTGAATAATAGGAATGTACAATGCAATGCATACATTTAGGGGTTGTGGTCCTGGTCAAGACAATCTCCTGAACTCCAAACTGAATGTCAGAATGGGGTTGAAATGTGATTTAAGCAATTTTGAGTGTGGCATTGTTGTTGGTGCCAGACGGGCCGGTCTGAGTATTTCACAATCTTCTCAGTTACTGGGATTTTCACGCACAACCATTTCTAGGGTTTACAAAATATTTAAAAAAACATCCCGTGAAAAGGGAAAAACATCCAGTATGTGGCAGTCCTGTGGGCGAAAATGTCTTGTTGATGCGAGAGGTCAGAGGAGAATGGGCCGACTGATTCAAGCTGATAGAAGAGCAACTTTGATTGAATAACCACTTGTTACAACCAAGGTATGCAGCAAAGCATTTGTAAAAGCAACCACAACACGTTGTGGTTCAAAGCAACCACAACATGCACAACCTTGAGGCGGATGGGCTACAACAGCAGAAGACCCCACCAGTTACCACTCATCTCCACTACAAATAGAAAAAAGAGGCTACAATTTGCAAGAGCTGACCAAAATTGGACAGTTGAAGACTGAGAAAATGTTGCCTGGTCT